ACATGAAAAGCCCTCGATACACTTTTTAAAAGTTTCTAATTCACGACCCCGTCGAGTTACAACCATTCAATCGGGTACGACCAAAAGCCCCGTTCAACGTCAGTATCGGGTAGATTTCCACCGAGCCACAAAATCAAAACCCTATATAAGGGTGAGTGAACCTCATTTACACCTTTTTCACTCTCTCTCTCTCTCTATAAGTTGCTTTCGGTCCAAAAACGCCCATTTCAAGCTCCATAATCGTAAGTAACCTATCCTACCTTATTGTTTAGCTTGATATACCTGCAAATTCGTGTTTAAATCACCCAAATCCCTCATAAACATGTGTTTATGGCCCAAGAACACTCTTGGACCGCAAACACTCGTAAATGGGGTTTTGAAGCCCCAAAACCCTTCCAAATCACTCCTAGGGCTTAGATATGACTTGGGGACTTGCATGTATGAGCCTAGAACACCAAAACCTTGTCTTTTGAGGAGTAAACATGAGTTTACGGCCCAAGAACACTCTTGGACCGTAAACCCCTCTTCATGGGCCGTGAACACCATTTAAGGTGTTAAATTTGCCCTTAAACACCTCCTATGGCTTGGGTAAATGTCTAGAATCAACTACCATTGAAGTAGGGGCATTAAACATTCAAGGAAACTATGAACTTAGGAGTTTACGGCTGTAAACCTCCCCAAGTATTGGTCCATGGGCCGTAAACTCCCTTAAGGAGGCCAAATGATGCCCTAACTCCCTCCTATGGCTTGGAATAATGCATAGAACCTTGTATTCTTTCATTAGGACCTTAAATCATGAATTGAAAGACCAAGTGAGAGTTTACGGCTGTAAACTCTATGTTTATAGCCGTGAACTCCCTTAAATGGTTCATTTGGAGCCTTAACCCCTTCCTATGCCCAAGAATTGAACCTAGCATAATTCCACTAGTGATATAAGACCGTTAAGCATCCAAGAACACACCACCCATGAGTTTACGGCTGTAAACTCATGGGGATATGGTCTTTGGGCCGAAATCTCCATAAAGAATTTACTCTTGATGAGTAAACTCCCTAACTAGGCCATACGCTCCCTTATTGCAACCCAATAGCCTCCTAGCACTTGACCAAAGTGTTTTCCGCACATTAGGATGCTTATACGTGTTTAATTAGTATTATAATCACTAATTGTATGTAAACATATGTATTCATATGTTACTAGGTCATTAAGTGTGTTCAAGTCTTCACTTGACACCGAGCACTCGACCGGCACTTCCATCCGATTCACTCGCCACAGGTGAGTTCATACCCCTGAATTAACCTTTTTAAATGATTTTTACTGCTTTTATAGGGGGGGAATACAAGTTGAACTGTACAGTTATTAGATAAATCACAGGTGATTAATAACTGTATAGCAAATTAGACTTTTGCATGATAAACTATTTTATCCATATTAAGATTTCCAAATCATGTTTTCGAATCTCGTTAAAGTATGAATATCCCTTTTTAGATCATTAAAGGTTATACAAAGTTTTCCAAAGTTCGTTTACTAAAGGGACATCCAGTCGTAACTTCTTATTAAAAGGATTTCCAAAGGTTTCTTCACTTAAACTATTTTATAAAAATCGTTTTCAAAACTGTTTATGAAAGGTTTTTCAAAGAACATCCAAAGGTTTTCAAAACTTGTTTTACAAAATGACATCAAGTCATAAATTTCTTAAGTGTAAGGGTTTTCCAAAGGTTTTACCAAAGTTTTCTTCTATGCTTTTATTTCGTTAAATGCATGGCTATATTTGTATAGTTATATAAATAATGTTTAAAAGACTTAGGAAGGCTAATTCGCCCTATTTCCTTTTCCTCATTGGGATGTGGTCTGGTGGGTATCGGTTATCCGTCCGAAGGTCTTTTAAACATTAGTTATATATCATGTATACATGTATGGACATAAAAGCTCTCTCTCTCTCTCTCTCTCAGCCAATTCATCGCCTTGAGTAGTACAGGCATCCCTCTATTATTCATGTTTCTGGAACCCTAGTAACTATTATAGGAATAGTTAGGAGACTCTATCTCTCTCTCTCTATCTCTCCTTCTATCTCTCTCTCTCTATCTCTCCCTCTATCTCTCTCTCTCTCTCTTTCTCTCTCTTTTACTTTAGAATGTGACACACTATTTCCCTCTACGACGCTTCATTGCGGCAATGCCGTGTAACCAGAGTCTCCGGGAAGGAGAGCGAACATCATGTGTATAGATCTATACGGGACTGACACTCCCACACCCAGACTACTAGCTACAGTCCACGCCGGTAAGGCCCATGGGTGACATAATGCCACTACCTCTACGCGTGACCTGGAGGGTCATCGGATACTCTATCGTCGATCAGCATGGTTACATATGAGTTCACATTCACCCTTTGTTTTAGACTTTGCTAGTTGTATCGTTCACTCGATACTGTCTGGAGTCCGTATTTTCTTGTTTTAGACTTTGCTAGCTGTATCATTCACTCGATACTGTCTGGAGTCTGTATTTCCTTGTTTTAGACTTTGCTAGCTGTATCGTTTATTCGATACTGTTTGGAGTCTGTGCTTCCTTTTGTTAGACTGAGCCAGGCGTATCATTTATTCGATACTCTCCTGGAGTCTAGGTTTTCTTTTGTTTTAGTCAGCAGTGTTACTGCTGAGGTATATATTATTTTCCCCTAGTATTTTCACTTGTGATTTTCTCATTATTCTTTTAAAGTCAATTCTGTATTCTAGTAATGATAGTGATTCGGGGAAAACTACTCCTTAAAACATAAAATATGTTGGGTCTTGTAGAAGACTACATTTATTTAGAAAATATAGGATTTTCTGGAATGGACGCTAATGCACCGCAGATTCTAAACTACTATCTCTCATTAAGTTATTTTGAATAAAAATGTGTATTATACAAATGACATTAAATACTTATGAACTCACCAGCATTATAAAAACGCTAATACTCGCTTTCAAAATAACTTGTATTCTCAGGTCATTGATAGATAGGTACATCCCGGGAGCGTTTGCGGAGACAGCCTAGTACCAAGTTGCATCTATATTGTTCTTGTATTACTTCGATATTACTATGAAATGTAACCTATGTAAAAATTATTACTATTAATGCAATGGTTGTTGTACTTTGATTACTATACTGCATATGTTGTGATACTTGACATGACGTCATCCACCCTAGAACGTTTCCGCCGTTCCGGTTTTGGGGTGTGACAAAGAGCAAGTGAAGAAACATCCCTCGATGTCAGAAATCAACCTCATGGCTATGATCAGATCTTGAACTTCGTCAAACATCGGGGGCTTCATATTGTCAAAGTCCCGATACTGGAAGGCTCTTCCAGCGCCAATCCCAACAGTAGCAACGACAGTGGTAGCTGCAACAGCCGCAGCCTCAAAAAGTGTAGAGTATCGCTCATCAAAATTCTCCACCATAGAGGTCTTAATAGACCCAAACATCTCCAGTAACTACGCCTGAAAGAGGGAAACAACCTCCTCCTGCATTATCTCCCTAACCCACTTCTCAGTAAACGTTGGCTTATCCTGACCACCAGCTTCCGATCCTGATCTGGATGCTACCTCAAATTGTCTAATCATCACCATACTGAAAATAAACCAAGGAGATATCAGATAAAACGCATACCATACCAGGGAAACCAACTCCCAACAAAGCCCTAGGGGTTGTGACTTCCCTGCTACTCGTACAAGTCCTGTGCATCCAATAGTATGGGCCCATACTACCTTCCACACCTACCCGTATTTTTCTCAGAGGATCATCACAACAACCCTAACAATACACAGTAGCATACGAGTACACTCAATCCTCACTTACTGGAGGATGGCTAAATATTGCGCCGACTGGTCGGCTGAACCCACACAAATCATCCATGAAATTTCCACCAACCCTGCAACACTCGTGTATGCTAATCATACATAAAATTAGATCTTATAGAAATTCAAATACTTGACTCTACCCTAAGCCCTTCATCAAACAAGAACAGGAAATAAGGCTAAACCAAACATTCTCATGCTATAGACTCACTACTAGAAAAACAGCCTTTTACGACGCTCATTACGCGTCGTAAAAGGCTCAGACGACGCGCAAATGCGTGTCAATGAAGGCCCTGTCATAAAGAGAGACGACGCGCTTTTGTGCGTCGTCTATAGATGACGCGCATTTACGACACTCATTTACAACGCGCAATTACGACGCGCGTTTACGACACGCAATGCGTATCAAGAAAGGCCCTGTCATAAAGAAAGACGACACGCATTCGCGTGTCGTAACCTTACGACATGCGTGTTAATGACACGCAATGCGTATCAAGAAAGCCCCTGTCAAGAAAGGCCATGTCATAAATGAAGACGACACACATTTTTGCGTATCATAATTTTAAATGTTTAAAAAAAATATTATTTATAGATTTACTAATTTTCAAATTAAATTTGTATTTAATGTCTCATAATAGAAAATAAAATACCATATACAAAAAATACAATCCATTGCATAATATAAAATAAAATTTCATACACAAAAAATAAAATAAATTGCACAAAATGTCATACAAATAATCATTCAAATGTTAAACAAAAATAATACATTTCTATTCCTATAAAACTAACAAATAATCATCCAAATCTGTTTCTTACTGGAATATGTGTGTAATTGTCTCCTTCATCATCCTCCATGTATATTGTTATTGGATCTACCTTCCTACTTTGTATGATCTTATTCTGTCTGCTGCAAAAACCATGGGATTGCAGTCATAGCCCACACCAATTACAAGTTTCTCAGAGACAAAAATAACCTGAAATAAAATGTTGTTTATCAACATTTGAATAAGAATAAGTACAAAAACTATTCATAATGATAGTCTAAAATCTGAAATAAAATGTTGCTTATCTCATCCAAAAGGTGTATTTAAAGGGCATACTAACCTCACTGCCATTCAATGTCATGAAATAGAAATGCTTATGACCCTTTCGAGCATATTCCTTTTGTCAAGCCTCATAAGCAGGCATATCAAGCACCTACAAAAATATGTAAAAAAAAATGAAATTGTATTTACACTCAAAATTTAAATTATAAATAACCTGTTGATTTGAAAAAAGTAAAATCATACCATCATGACAAAACACGTTGTAATGAGGAATCAGTGCGCAAAAGTAACTTTCAAAAAATAAGCAAGCTTTGTTATTCAAAAAAGAAGATGAAGGGTAAAATGGTCATTTAGTCCTGTTTGCAGAAGATGAAGGGTAAAATGGTCATTTAGTCATAACATTAAAAAAAAGTAAGCTTTGTTATTCAGATGGTGTAGAAGATGAAGGGTAAGATGGAGAATTGTAGTCAATGTATGTTTACTTCTTTAACTTCTAGACGAAGGGTAAAATGGTCATTTAATGTTATTCAGATGTTCAAAGAAGAAACAAACTTTGTGCATACCACTTTTAAGTGCTCCAGACATCATTAAGTTATGTCTGAGTGTTTTTTTTATCTATTCTTTCTCATTAAGTTACTTATATAAATGATGTTTTACAAATTTGCCCTCATTTAGTTTTGATCAAATTAGAAATGAGCGTACCTTATCTTTACTTATTTGAATGTAACGAGTAACAGCTCCAAAAGCGAAGTTATCTACACACACAAAGTTAGGTCCTGCAAAGTCTAGAATGACACCATCTTCTCTGCCTATACCAATATGACCAACAAAAGGAAGAAGCCATGAAACAATAGGAAGAGGTGTCTATACAATGCAACATGGAAAACAAGATCTTGATGGATCAATTTGCATGTTATGTGTTGGAATCTTGTGATCGATCATCATGTTGTGGTTGTGTTCTGTATCTGATTCCAATTCCATTGCAAGATCTGCACACAGTAATATGTGAATTGATTAGATAGGATTTGTCCGATTTATCATTTCTGAATCGAGCTTAAATTTATAAAATAAAGAATGCTAATCAGTTAATTCAACAACATTGACAGTCAGCACCATGTGTAAGAACATTGCCCTAATTTTCCATGATCGACGAAGTACGGATTTTCCGATTTATTATTTCTCGTTTGAGTTTAAAGCAGGTCTCGGTAATGGCACTTCATTCAATCACTATCTGTCAGTATAGCTGTTTCCATGGATGCATTACCTTTGCCCACTGTCTCCTTACAAATTTCTTCAATTGATTTTGAAATGATCTTGTTTAACTAAAAAAAAATATAAACAAATCTCTCAATTAGATTAAAAATGATCAACTTTAAAATTGTAGAGCACATGGTACTACCTTTCCAACTTTAATGTCGGCTTTCGTCCCCAAATCATCCAACTGCGCACAAGTAATATAAAATAGTATAAAATTGATTGATATTTGATATATTATTACAAGTGCATGAAAACCCATACTTTGAAATATGTACCGAATCATCCAGACAAAAAAAAAATTAACCTACTCCTTTCAGATTTCTCTCAGAAAGTACTGGCCTCTTTCCTTCAGTTTAGAATATATTAGATATAGGTTTCCAGGGAGCCAGGTTTTAGACCCATCCACCACATACAAACTAACTAACACAAAATGGAATGAGAAAATAATCAACAAGAGAAGATTTATGTTTAACCGTATTTAGAAGACATACATTCATTTAGGGATAGAAAACAATAAGAAAAATGATAAATGGACTATCGCAAAATCATGTTTGAGTTCCAGTACCTATATGCCAGAGAAAGGAACAAATTTATAAGCATTTTTCCAATACCCTAATCATCCAGTAACATGCAACACTAGCTTTAGTATGAAAAGGACCAAATACAAATTTAAGGCACCCGTGAAATTTAATCAACAAAATTCATGAAGGCAAGAAAGAGAGACCTGCAGAAGGCATCCAATCTTGCATGCAAAAACTTATTTGTGAAGAGAGAAGACTCTCCTACATATTTTGATGAATTATAGAATGTAAGCTCGGGGCTTATAACCTGCAAAAAAAAATGTATAAGAACAGACATACTAGCAAATACGACAGCAGAGAAGTAAGATGAGAAATATTGGCATGTCACAGAAGCACCCCTGCTGTTAGTAGCTTCATGAACAAGGTTATCATGAGTGTCAAACAGAATAACAGAAATGGAGACAGACCATCCACATATCTTGGAAAATAATATCATTGAAGAAACAAATAGGAGTTGACTGTCAGATATTAAGCCACATTATTACAAGGTGTACACGCGGTTGAATAAGAGACTTTGTGGGACGAAATAAATGTATCTTCTCATGATTGCACATGAGTTAAGATGTAAATTTAAACTAAAATAAGAGAGAAAATGTCGCATTTTTGGGACTGGGGCGAAAGTAAAGGGATATTTGTACATCTTTTAGAGCCAATGTCTATGGATTAAGCGATATGTTGTAATGACAGATTATAAGTGAATTGTGGCGCTCAAGTGGTTCAAAGCTACAACATTCTATTCGTTCAAATGGTTCAAAGCTTTTATGATCGATAAATAATTATGGTTCTCACTTTCATGTATTTAAAACAAAAGATCAACTTTAAACAAAAACTGAAAAAAAAAAACTTTCCAGGGCTATTTTCAATGATAAGGGCATTTATGTCTTTTTACCTTATAGGAGACCTACTTAGGCTTCTCTCACCATCATACCTCCCTCACCTATGTCTTTTATGATAATCAAGGTTCCTACTCCTACTGCGGGTCCTACTTTCTCTGTCCCTTCCATAATATTTGTCCCTGCTTCTGTTGCGACTTCTCCTCTTGTAGCCCCTGTATTCATCTCTATACCTAGAACCACATCGAGTAAACATCAAAAAATGTCCAACATGGAAGATGGAAGATTGAATTGAAATTTACAAACCTATAAGTGTTAAACCTGATCAAAAAAATGTAAACATGGAAGATGGAGAATTGAATTGCAATTTACAAACCAGTTTAGCATTTTCATGTCGTCTAGTTGTTGTTCTGTATTCTTTCATGGTGTCTTCTTCGGTCTTTGGAACTACCTTCACCTCTTCAACTTCTTTTGGTTGATATATCTGGTTGAAAATAGATAAAAAGATTAGCATTGTTGAGATATGTTTATGAAAGACAAGTTCGGAAAGATGGAAACCTTCCTCTGTTCACTAATGAGATAAGCAAACTTTTCAATATTTGGAACTGCAAGCAATTAGGGCAGGAGCAACTTTCACTGCTTCGTTTGCTTTCCCCAGCTTGTCCATGGTCTGAGTTTAACAAATAAATTCTTCAATTCATATTGAAGAGTAGTAGAGTTTATACAGAATACATAGAGGTAGGAGGTTAATTCAGTAAGATGTACCCAACGCACGATGTTAGAAGTTTAAAACCAAATTAATATAATAAAATTGACTAAAATTAATGAATTGAAATCATGTATATGGTTCTATAAAGTGATCGCTACCCCTTACAATTAAGATATACACAAATAATTGCTGGAAAATGTGAGATTTTGTTACCATATATTGAGTCGACGCACCCAACGCACAAATGCTGTTCAAGTCATCGTTCCTATGTTCCAGATACACGAATAAAGGTAAGGTCGGTTCAATTTTAAAATCGTTGGATCATCCAAGATGTGTTCCCACCCAACGCACAAATGTTGTTCAAGTCAGCATTCCAAAACTTTAATCGGTGTTCCCAAACTTCAATCGGCGATCCAAATCATCGTTCCTATGTTCCAGATACACGAATAAAGGTAAGGTCGGTTCCATTTTAAAATCGTTGGATCATCCAAGATGTGTTCCCACCCAACGCACAAATGTTGTTCAAGTCAGCATTCCAAAACTTTAATCGGTGTTCCCAAACTTCAATCGGCGATCCAAATCATCGTTCCTATGTTCCAGATACACGAATAAAGGTAAGGTCGGTTCCATTTTAAAATCGTTGGATCATCCAAGATGTGTTCCCACCCAACGCACAAATGTTGTTCAAGTCAGCATTCCAAAACTTTAATCGGTGTTCCCAAACTTCAATCGGCGATCCAAATCATCGTTCCTATGTTCCAGATACACGAATAAAGGTAAGGTCGGTTCAATTTTAAAATCGTTGGATCATCCAAGATGTGTTCCCACCCAACGCACAAATGTTGTTCAAGTCAGCATTCCAAAACTTTAATCGGTGTTCCCAAACTTCAATCGGCGATCCAAATCATCGTTCCTATGTTCCAGATACACGAATAAAGGTAAGGTCGGTTCCATTTTAAAATCGTTGGATCATCCAAGATGTGTTCCCACCCAACGCACAAATGTTGTTCAAGTCAGCATTCCAAAACTTTAATCGGTGTTCCCAAACTTCAATCGGCGATCCAAATCATCGTTCCTATGTTCCAGATACACGAATAAAGGTAAGGTCGGTTCAATTTTAAAATCGTTGGATCATCCAAGATGTGTTCCCACCCAACGCACAAATGTTGTTCAAGTCAGCATTCCAAAACTTTAATCGGTGTTCCCAAACTTCAATCGGCGATCCAAATCATCGTTCCTATGTTCCAGATACACGAATAAAGGTAAGGTCGGTTCCATTTTAAAATCGTTGGATCATCCAAGATGTGTTCCCACCCAACGCACAAATGTTGTTCAAGTCAGCATTCCAAAACTTTAATCGGTGTTCCCAAACTTCAATCGGCGATCCAAATCATCGTTCCTATGTTCCAGATACACGAATAAAGGTAAGGTCGGTTCAATTTTAAAATCGTTGGATCATCCAAGATGTGTTCCCACCCAACGCACAAATGTTGTTCAAGTCAGCATTCCAAAACTTTAATCGGTGTTCCCAAACTTCAATCGGCGATCCAAATCATCGTTCCTATGTTCCAGATACACGAATAAAGGTAAGGTCGGTTCCATTTTAAAATCGTTGGATCATCCAAGATGTGTTCCCACCCAACGCACAAATGTTGTTCAAGTCAGCATTCCAAAACTTTAATCGGTGTTCCCAAACTTCAATCGGCGATCCAAATCATCGTTCCTATGTTCCAGATACACGAATAAAGGTAAGGTCGGTTCAATTTAAAATCGTTGGATCATCCAAGATGTGTTCCCACCCAACGCACAAATGTTGTTCAAGTCAGCATTCCAAAACTTTAATCGGTGTTCCCAAACTTCAATCGGCGATCCAAATCATCGTTCCTATGTTCCAGATACACGAATAAAGGTAAGGTCGGTTCAATTTTAAAATCGTTGGATCATCCAAGATGTGTTCCCAAGCGTTCGGTATGAAATCGTATCCCATATCCAGTACGCATTCTTACTATGGTTCAATATAACCCTAAAACAACTTAAAGTTTAAATTAAAGCTATAAGTTAGAGATTTTCACACTTACGATAAAAATTACGGAAATAAAGACGTTTGAGAGGGAGAAAATGGTGGAGAAAAGAGAATATTTGCCACCGTTGACCTCTGTATGGCTGGTGCTTGGGTGGTGCCTGGCTGGTGCTGAGCTCCAAAAATACGAAATGGAGAAATATTGAAAGATAGATAGAAGATAGAAAAAAAAGGATGAAAGATAGATAGAAGAGAGATCTAGAGGAGAGATTATCAGAGAGGGGAGAGTGGATTGCAAGGATGAAAGATAGATAGAAGATAGAAAAAACAAGGCGGGTTTTCAAAATTTTGGGGATTTCGTTTCACCCCTTGTCTACTAAAAGCGCGTTCCATTAAAATTATAAAGCGACAGGTACAGACGACGCGTGTTTAAGATAAAGCGCCCTCCGTGTTTTTAATTTTTTTCTTGAGACACTAAATTAAGGGCACGCAATAATGCGTGACGTAAATCCTTCATTTTTTTTGGAGAGATAACACTATTTTAAGGGCACATCCTTTTGCGTATCATTAATCAGCGTGTGTCGTAAAAAGCGCGTCATTAAAGGTCTGTTTTCTAGTAGTGACTCTTAGTTATGTACAACTATGATGCATACACTAAGCAACTATAGTTATGATGTCCATTCCATATAAGAAGGAAACCCTAGGCTACCTGGCATCACATAATCAGGCAATTCTATCATGCAATTCCAGAAGATCCATGGCCTATCACTGGGATGTTGTTCTAACATATCATAATATCAAATAACAGTATAGTAATTTGGGGTCTACTTACTGGATCCGGTTGATCGTACATATCACATCCTCTTTGATTATTTTGAAAACCATTTGAATATCATTTTTAAAACCTTTGTCCTTATTTTGAGACTAGATTCACACGAGTATTCCTCCACTTCACTCGAACCAAGGCTCTGATACCAACTTGTAACACCATAATAATCACAAGAAATTTAAGCTTTTAAAATCAACCCAAATTCATAAATTGTTTACAAATCATAGTTTTCGAAATATTTTCCAATATCAGAGTCTCCCAAAATCATAACTCGGAAACAATAGGATGTGTACGATCACCCCTTCGCCTTCCCGCGGTCATCCGAAGTACCTGAAACCATAACTAAAAACTGTAAGCCAAAGCTTAGTGAGTTTCCCCCAAAGTACCAACACATAAACACATAACATATATAATAACAACATTTAATGGGTCCACAACTAAAAGACTGGATTACCCCTGAGCCTACAACATAAGTCTGGCATCCCCTCGGGCCCATAGCTTTTGTCTGGCTTGCTTCCTGAACAAATCTGTCATCAGACTGAAATACCATTAAGTCCTCAGCATGAGAATGCTCATGATCCCTTAGTATAATTCCTACATATCCATCAGCTCATATCTGGAATGCTCCAGCGTTTGTTGGCTACAACACGAAGCAGTACAACCTCAACCCAATATAATATGTCAACATATAACAGATAACAAACATATTAAGATAATCATGCATACAAAATCATAGGTAGTCCTACAGATCTACCAGACTAGCATATTGACAACTAGCATAATCATGCATATCTATTCCGTACTCAACATAGGTAGTCCTACAATGGGCAGATCTTGGTGCCTTCGACCCATAAGTATAGTGAGGAAAACTCACCTCACAAACTGGACAAAAGCTGATGAGGTCTCGACTCTGAATCTCAGCTGTAACCGTCACCTATCCAACCAAATGACCAATCTCACTCAAAATCCCAAAATACCCGAAATACCCTTAAGTCAAACTTGGTCAAAGTCAAAGTCAAATTGGTCAAATCAACCGAGTCAACCTAGAGTGAGTACGTAGGGCGTACTTCAAACGTACACTAAGCGTACTTCAAACGTACGCTAAGCGTACTCGAGTGTGACCACCATCAGGGTGGTTGACCTGGTACTCGAGGCATACTCCAGGTACACGGGGCGTACTCCCAGACCTCCAAAATCCCATTAAGAGCTTAATGGCTTAAGCTCTCACGTCCATATTTCAGATCCATAGTTAAAATACACTCAAGAGTCATAAAGTATCCAACTTTATGCCTTTGCATGACCATTAAGTGCTTAACTCAACTTCTTAATCCATTAAGACCTTCTAAATGATGCATGGAGCAAAACCAACCATTTGGAACCCATTTTTATGACTCAAAACCCTTACAAACGTCTGAAAGGATAGCTTAATGGGTCAAGAACATGATATGTTCATGAATCTCCATATTTGGGACAAAAAGGACCAAAAGTATTCCAAAACAAGATCTAAATGAAACTTCACCAAGTTTAGAACTTGATACCTCAAAATGGTGCCAATAGGTGGCGTGATCCTAGATCTAAAGAGCTTCACTACTTCAAGGTGGTCTCTCATTCCTTCCTTCTTCTTCAAAAGCACAGAACACACACTCTCAAGCTTGGAAATGCTTCACAAGATGAATTAAGGTTGCAAAAACGTAACAAGAGGATGGAGGCTGATTAGGTGAGGGGAAATGAGGCTATAATGGGTTTTAAAAATGAGCCAAACATTAAAAATTAGGGTTTGAATGCTTGTCACGTACACCCTACATACTAGGGTGCACCCTAATACGCTAAGCGTACACATGTAGGTGCGCATAGCGTACTCTCCAACATCCAAAATTACGAAAATCCCACTAAGGCCTTGAATGCACACTTTCTTTTACTTAGGGACCAAAATGCAATATAATTCAATTATAGGCTTAAAATTAGAAGTACCTTGAATGCACACTTTCTTTTACTTAGGGACCAGATGATGAGAATGGTTGGAAATATTCTTAATATTATACAATTGCTTGTTGACATCATTACGGAGCAAAAGTAATTAAGTAAGTGTTTTACCCTTCGAAAGATGTACAAAATATTATTTATGAAGTATGAAAGCAGGAATCCAACGCATAGACTATTTGGAAATTAAAAATAATTCTCTTTTTTGCATTGCTATCATGTAACATATATAATACCTTTTGCGAAGCCATATTTTTTTTATTTTAGGGTTAGATCGTTCTCTTAGAGGATTCAATCAATGGATTTATGCATTTTTAATTTTGAATCTTTTATGTTTTCAAAAGCAAGAGGCGAATTATGGGAGATAGAGCCTTGATTGAAGGATAAACAAAAAAAGAATAACCGGTGAACTTATTAAGTTTTCTTAAGCGAAAAAATAGCTGCTTTAATAATAATAATAATAATAATAATAATAATAATAATAATAATAATAATAATAAGACATGTGTCGTAAGATTACTAGTATAGATTTAGACTTTTTATAGACCGCAAGATTTTTGTATTATGTCATCATTAAGTCACACCATCTTCTGTAAAGACAATTTCACCACACAAATCGTCCCCTTATAAACACCTTTATTGACATTTCTTTGCTCATACCATGTTCGTTTAGATTGTCTCTAAACCCAACTATATCCGATCAAACAAGCAACACAAAGCTAAATATCGAAATTGTACGCAGATCAAAATATATAAGCATAATGCAAAGAAAAAAAACATATTAATTATAGTCCATAAAAAGGAGGAATACAACATTCTTGTCAACGTGACATCTTCCTGTAACCAACTATATTATCTCGGGGGTATTCATCTTCTTTTTCCTTTTCCGCCTCCTTATTATCTATACCCCCTTCTATGACAAGCGGGTTCGTTCTGGAGGGGTTTACCACACAATTCGGGTCCTAAGGATCACATGCAGGAGCTTCGGCTTTCGTTACTCGGATTAAAATTAAAATTAATCTTTATTAGCTTTTTACACCAAGGTTAAAGGTGCCATTATTGTTTCATATAGATAACAAGTCAAACAAATCTTATTCGAATACAATCCTCAACTCAAAACTCCATTTTACACCCCTGTGCTTTGTCATAGTAAGACAAGCCAGCATTTTCAAGTGCGTCTGCAGTTCTTTCAGTTAATCCGGTGGGAGGTGCACATTTATCTGGACCAAATGCAAAAACAGTTGGGAACCCAGTTACTCCAAACCTTGCTTGTATATCCTGAAAAATTATAATCGATTAGTAAACAATTATATAAAATAATATAAGTTTAAATTATAAAAAATAATGAAGAATACATTTTCCACGTCACAGTCAAGTTCACCAAACTTGACCTTTCCTTCCAAAGCCTTTGAAGCCTTGTCCCACTCAGGTTTAAGTTGTTTAACATATAGACACCTGAAAGAAAAAAAAAAATATATATATATATATATATATATATATATATATAAAGATTTAAAATTGAATATGATAAAGTAAAAAAGAATAAGTATATGTGGAATAACCAGGGTGCTCCGAACAAGACAAACCAAACATCTTTACTTTGCATAACCAATTGTTCAAAATTTCCTGAATTCAATATAACTGAGGCTGTATCACTAGCGTCAACGAGATTTAAATTTCCGGTGAATGATAAAAAGAAGAAAGAAATAAAGATCAACACATTTGTCGAGCTATTCATGGTTCCTGACAGAAGAATGGAAAACGAAAAAACGTATTTTTGTGTTTGATTGATAAGAGATGCGTGCTATAAATAATGAAGCATGCATGTAATTTGAAGAAACGTGGATGGACTAGCAAACTATTTGCTGAGACGTTATTAGCAAATGATGGGGTCAAATTATGCCTACATTAATGGAGTAGCTGAACCTTTTATTCATTAAGTTTGACATATTAGTAAAAACTTTTTTATTACTTATTATTCTTTTGAATATATTTTTAATAACAAAGTGTATATATTACAAATCCATCTATATATGTAACCTATATCTTATAAAAAAATATTATGCAAAGTATATTATATGGTTCTAGATGAATAGTTATCTTTCATCATATAAAACCACCCACATCTAACATATAAAACCACATACATCCGTTCTTTCAAGCTTCTTTCAAAGTGTCACGTGGATACTATTGCAAGCCACGCCAATTTTCCCTTTCAACTCCAACAAGACTTGCAAACATTTATTGGAGGGGCCTTTTAAAATAACAAACATAATTACATATTAGGTTCCACCATGTCGGTCGTTTTTTTACCGATGCCACATACATTCCACTTAAAAGTTTAATGTTTTGCCTATGAAGATTTGGATAGTAGGGGTTGACCTTCTTGGCAAAAGAAGATAGAAAAAGGACGGAGAAATGAGGGTTTTAGACAGCAAAAGAGGAGAAACACATGGTTGAACTTCCACCTTTAGCAAAAAAAAGAAATAGGAGGCGGTGTTGATCGCCGATGATAGTGTCCACGTCAGTTTGCCATCGATAAAAAACGCACGATACCGTGCAACCTTCTATATATATATATATATATATATATATATATATATATATATATATATATATAGTTTAAAGTTTAATTAATATATTGAACTAAATTTCATACTATAAATTAAGTAAATAAATTGAAATAAAATAACATTAGTACAAATTAATAAAAATAAATACATAAATATGATTATATATATATATATATATATATATATATATATATATATATATATATAATAGTTTTAAGTAGTAGAGATATTAGTTAAAAGTATATATTTGATAATGTGGTAGTGGAGACCACTTTTTAAACATGGTTAGATATATAATATTATACAGATCATTGTAAATGTTGATATGACAAGTTTGAAAGACCGGAAATTGCACTGCTTTAGACGGTCTAATGCCAAAACGTTTGCAAGGGTGAATTATGTGGACAAAAGAGAAGTTTGGCCTGGCAACATGGAAACCAATTGGATGATGAGAATGGTTGGAGATATTCTTACTATTATAGAGTTGCTTGTTGACATCATTATCGAGCAAGAGTAATTAAGTAAGGGCTCGTTTGTTTTTTGGCAAAAAGACTTTTTGGGCCTTATATCTACGGGTGGGTAGATGTTTACCAAAAAGACCATTTGTTTTCTGGAAGACAAAAGAACTCGAACATACTTTTTCATCTCTTTTCTGAAAAGACCTAAAAGTACAGCTTCTAATTACATAATGCATTAATCACCTCCATTCGCTCTTTCCCTTTCAAGATTGCATCCTCCCACACCGACGATCTCTCTACACCGGCCAAATCTGGATATCAGGGGTATTGCTGTCCAAAATTTAAGTGTCCAATCTGTAATTTAGATGTGAATCTACTCCTTCAGTTGAATCATAATGAATAATTGTTTTAGCTTCGTTTGTTAATGCCTCAGTAATTTAATTAAGATTTACGAATTTCTTATAATTGTATGTGGGGCTTTTTTCTTTTCATCAGCTACGTTTGTGCATGAAAATTTTACTGATTCATTTTTTCAAGGCAAGCTAGGATATTGTAAAACAAGATTTATGATTTACCATCCCACACAAGGCGCATAAAGCCATAAACAAGCATCAATTAGTACAGGGCTAGTAATTTTTTATACCTTTCTCTCATCTTTAAGCTTAACATGTCTACTGTGTTCTCTCTTCAGAAGCACTTGCTTCTTCTTGATACCAACATCGAAACCATTAATTCCAAACTCACTGTGCTGTATATTTTTTTGTTAAGTAGTATTTTACTTTGCTGTTTATCTCTCATGTTGTTGGTTGCCTTGAGATTTGAGTGGGTTGATCACGTGTTATCTTAATTACAAGCCCTTTCTTATTACTTTGCTGGTGTTTTCAAGACTCATGTCAAACATCCACCTTTTTGCTCTTTGTTCTATTTTCATGGTATAGGTGTCTGCTGCTACTTCTGGTGCCTTGGTTGTAGTATCATTTTTGGTTTTTTGGTTTCTCCCTAGTGTAGTTTTGGTGTCTTGAAGAATATACCCTTTTTGATAAAATGACAAAAATGACAACCCTCGGGTGCAACTCCCATGATGGAAATTAATGGCTACAAAAATAAAAACAAAATTTGTTTTTTTATATTGGTAAACTTTGGTCATTTGAAAAAGGCATTAATCTTTTGTATAAAGATTTCTTGTATGAAGGTATAGAAAAATATTTTTGGTCCACATCTTCAGACACGGAAAAAGACTAAATACATTTTATCACTTCCAAAAAAAACACCTTCTAAGTGTTTTACCCTTCGAAATACATAAAAAATATTATTTTTGAAGTATGGAAGTAAGGATCCAACGCATAGACTATTTGGAAAAAAGAATTTCTTTTTTGCATTGCAAGCATGCAACATATATAATACCATTTGCGAGGCCATGTTATTTTTATTTTATGGTTAGCACTACAAGAATTGGGGGGCGTTAGCGGCGACGCATGGCATTAGCAGCGACATGTAATTGACGCGTTACATGGCGCTGCTAATGCCATGCGTCGCCGCTAATAATCACATAATAGCGATCCGCGTCAAACGAGCCCCGTCCGTTCGGTTTTTTTCAATAGTAGGGTTGTAATGGAACAAGAAAAGGCGCTGACTTTTCCCTCCAGATCGTCGTCGCTAATACCTACGCGTCACAGCTAATGCCTACACGTCGCCGCTAAAGGCCTTTAAACCCCCCCCCCCTCTTTTAGCTTCCTTTTTATTCCTTTCTGTGTATCGTGTGTTCTGTGAAACCTCCCAGCCGACTCAAGTTCCTTCGACCATCGATCGCGTCCAGCCGTCGTTCCTGTCACAAGACCACCGACCCATCCTCCATTCCGTCAATTCCGTCAAAGACTCATATCACCGGCGACGAGGAAGTAAAATCGGCGACCACTGTTGGTTTTTGCCTCCTTCTCCATAGATTTTTGCAACCTCTAGCGGGTTTTCTTGTTTTTTGCCGGAATTTAGCCGAAAACAAACTTGTTAGAAAGCTGTCGGAATACCGCCACCACCACCCTTCTCCACGAAATTACACAACCAGGTTCCTTTACAGCATATGTGGTTCCTTTACAACATATGTATTTGTGTATTTATATTATCTGTATGTACATATGTATTTGTATGTGTTTTTGTAAGTATGCATAACGTATGTATACTTAATGTATGTATAAATGCATGTATATATGGTGAAAACAGAAAAATTATGTATGTTTATATATATATATATATCTATATATATATATATATATATATATATATATATATATATATACACGTGTGTGTGTGTTTTTGCCATATGTGTACATGAATTTGTATGTATAAGTCTATACGTTTATATATGTATAATTGTTTACCATATGTGATTGGAATGTATGTATAAGTGTATTTTAATATGTTAATTTATATATATATATATATATATATATATATATATATATATATATATTCTGTACAAGTTTATATGTATAAGTGTATGTATATGTACGATCACCTAACTTGTGTATTTGTATGCAATTTCGAAATATAATGCTATAAAGGAAAGTGTATTTGTATATATGTATATGTAATATGTGTATTTGTATGTATATATATGTATGTATTGTATACAATTTGGAAACTAGAACGCTATAATGAAAAAAAATGAAAAAAAAAACAAAGTAGGATGCTATAATGGAAAGTGTTATCTTTTATGTGTATTTGTATGTAAAGAAAATTGCATATGTAGTTTGTGTATTTGTATGCCATTTGGAAACTACAATGTTACAGATGAAAAAAAAAACAAAGCATGGTGCTATAATAGAAAGTGTATTACTTTTGTATATGCAATATGTGTAACTTTTATTCATATTGTAATTTTACAGGCTACATATGGGGTTTGGTTGGACGATAATCTTCTACGTGATGGAGGATGTTATGGGCCTAGGACATGGAGGTAATGGAGTCGGGGATCCACCACCTCCAGTAGGCTTTGGTCGTGGACAACACGAACAGGATGGTAAGTCTCATTATGATATATTTATTAGCTATTTTTATCCATTTATTATAAGCTATCATGACTAATATTTTTAATTATATTTTTCAGTTGGGGTTCCTAAAAAAGAAGAGGCCTACCAAATAACATTCAACTATCAAAACTGATACGGGCAAACAAGGGAAAGCCCGTGGATTTGGATTCCGACAGAGAGCTCACGTATTCCCCTGTCGGGAACCATGGTAATTGATTTACCCGTGACATTGGAAGGTATATGTGGATTAACATCCCTTTGAACGTATCTGGTTAGGATAATGTTTCCCCTGCTTTTAGGAATGCCATAGTCGTGCATCTAAAGGTAACTTGGATATTATTTTAAGTTTAATTGCGATTGATATTTAATTAACTAACTTTTTTGTATTTATAGAATAAGTTTGATTTGGATAAGGTTAACTTGGATCCCGAGTGGGCTCAGTTGTTGCAGAGCATTGATACGTTATAGAGGCTGAAAAATTGAGCGCATACTCATTTTCAGAATGTTGGGGGGGGGGGGGGGGGGGGCTTAAAGATATCCCAAGGGCATTAGCCAACCCCCCCCCCCCCCGATGGTATATCACATGAAAATTGGGCACAAGCAATCGAACATTTACAAACGCCCGAATTTTTAAAGTGTTCGGCGTCAAACAAATGAGTCCGTGCACAACAACAAGTTATAAACAGAGGGGGATCATGCTTGTATAACAATGCATGTTTCAAAGAAGTAAGCTATG